TATTTGTGTTTTGGTCTTTTATTTTGTTTTTTCGCACCAAAGAATCGATTATCATTTTAGATTGATGTATTGTGTTGTGTTTCTCTGTGTTTGTTTACTTTGTTTGGTAAATACTATTTTTTTTGGTTTGTGTTGTGATTTGAATCGACTATCACTTAGATTGGTGTTGTGTGTTGTGTTGATTTATATTTGTGTTCTGGTCTTTTATTTTGTTTTTTCACACCAAAGAATAAATATTAACGACCAACAAATATTACAACAAACAACATAAAATTAAACTATTGGAAGGAAACTGTGAATTCGTCGGAAGTTATTGAAGATATCCATTAATGCGAGAAAGAAGAAGAAAGCAAAAGGTTTAGCTAAATCTGGGGAGACGAGGATCGAGAGATGGCCAAGAAGAAGAGAGAGAAAGGGAGGACAGGAGAAATAGAATTAAAGTTCGGCCGATTAAAAGAGGAAAGGTCTTTCGGCCGAAGAAAGGAGGAACAGGACAATATTGGCAATTGATTTTGCTAAAGCAATTGTTGTTCTGTTCACAGTGCTACTGTTCAAAATTGGCACTGTTCAAAATTGGAAATTGCAGAATACTTTATTATTCATAATTTGCAATTGATTTCGGGAGATGGCTAAGAAGAAGAGAGGGAAAGGAAGGATAGAAGAAATAGGAATAAAAGTTTGACTGGCTGCCGAAGGAAGGAAGATAAGGACAATGGAAAGGGGGAAAGCACAATACTCTACTGTTTATAATTGGCAATTGAACTGTTCAATACTGTCAATAATGAGTCTATCGGTGAACTCCTCTCTTTTTCAGATTTAAGAGAGAAGTTCACCGGTACTCTTATTGTGAACAGTAGCGATATCAATTGCCGATTATGAACAGCAGTAATTTCAATAGTATAACATTTGCTTCATCATTTGTTATTCGGATTTGTCCTTCTCTTTTATATTTGGCCTTTTACCGAAACGTTGTATATAGAAGCAAAAGGAAGAAACGTTCGGCTGGGTGCCGAAGCAATGAGTACATAAGGACAAAGGAAAGGGGAAAAGCATAATATTTTACTATTCATAATTGGCAATTGATTTCGCTGCTGTTCACAATGAGAGTAGCGGTGAACTTCTCTCTTAACTCTTACAAAGTGGGGAGTTCACCGGTAGACTCGTTATTGATAGTAATGAATAGTGCCAGTTTGGAGCGGCAGCAGTTTAAACAGTATAACATTTGCTTCGGCATTTGTTTTCCGGATTTTTCCTTCTTTTACACTGGGCTTTTTGCCGAAACATTCTCCTTCTATATATAGGCGGCTTTTTTTTGTTTTTCCTTAGGTTCTTTTCGTTTACCGTTTCTCTCTCTTTCAATTTTGTTTTTCCATTTATCTGTTTCTCGTTCTATATGTAAGTGCCTTTTCTTTGTATAATTTTGATTACTTTTCCTTTGGCGGTCACGTTGTGTATATGGTAAGAAAAATGAAATATAAAGTTATTGTTAATCTACGGTAATTGTAGATGCATATAAATAAAGGAGGATAACAACAAAGGAAAGGGGAGAAGCATAATACTTTGCTGTTCATTATATTGTCAGTAATAGATTGTGCCAATTTTGAACAGTAGCCGTTTGAACAGTATAACATTTGCTTCGACATTTGTTTTCCGGATTTGAATGAATCTACTGAAAATAAGGGAGACAAAAGGGAAAAGAGCATAGAAAAGTACTTCACCATGAGTAAAGAAGAAGAGGGTGAAAGGAAGGACAGGATAAAATGGAAATTAAGTTCGGCCGAATAAAAGAGGACAAGGATTTTGGCCGAAGAAAGGAGGAAAAGGATAAAATTGGCAATTGATTTCGCTGAAGCAAATGTTGTACTGTTCAAATTCCTACTGTTCAAACGATTTTTATAACTTGATTAATTTTTTCTTGGCGGCCACGTTGTGCTTATGGTAAGAAAAATGAAATATAAAGTTGTTGTTAATCTACGACAATTGTAGATGCATATTAGTTCTTATTTGTCTTAAACTATTTATTATGCTGGGCAATATAATGTGTTCTCTTATTTTGTTTTTGGCACAGTATAGGTACCGTTAAACACGGGACAATAGCTGATAAGTATATCTTTCCAACAGAATACTATGCCTACATATTGCAACTGAGGCCTTTAAATGTCCTCCTTAGAAGTGGAAGATGTTCTCAGCAATTTGTTGTGGACATGTATGTGAAGATCGAAAATTCAAGACTTGATTATTTGCGGAACAATCAAGAAATCATTGGATCTTATTTTTATCAGGGTATCCTTGATAGTGTGACACGTGGAGAGGCAGATGCTTCGAAGATTGGATATCTTGTTGTTTTACTTGCGTCGTTTATTGGGTGTGCTAGAGTTCTAAAACGCCGTTATCTAAATGTAATGGTATTAGTTCAAAGATTTGGGAAACCGGATTTGTTTATTACTATGACATGTAATGCAAATTGGGCCGAAATAAAGTGTAACTTATAAGCAAATTGGGCCAAAATAAAGTGTAACTTATAACCTGGAGAGAAAGCTCAGGATAGGTTGGATATAGTGGTCTGTATATTTCTGTGAATAGGAACACATTTCGGATTTCCAGTTTTGAACAGTGCCATTTTTTAACATTATCATCTTGAACAGTACAACATTTGCTTCAGCATTTGTTTGTCGGATTTGTACTCCTATATTACATTCGGGGTTTTTCCGAAACATTATCTTTTTACATTTAGGCAGCTTCTTTTGGTTCTTCCTTAGGTTCTTTTCATTTCCTGTTTCTGTTTCTTACGATTTTGTTTTTCCGTTGATGTCTAGGATTTGTAGTTATGTTTTTGTAGTGGTTTTTGTACATTTATAAATTGTTTCTGCAACCCTATTGAAGCGGCCGCAAATCCAAACACCGCAAGCAAAATCGCACCAAAGAACAAACGTTAACGATCAACAAATAATACAACAAATTGAAGCAAAACTGAAAATTAGACTATTAGAGGTAAATTATGCATTCACTGGAAGATATTGAAGATATCATTTCAAATTTACCGATGACTGTTGGAATTAGGCAGCCATTAATGTGAAGAGGAATAAAAAAGTAACAGGTTCAGCTAAATCTGGGGAGACGATGATCGAGAGATGGCTAGAAAGAAGAGATAGAAAGGAAGGATAGTAGAGATCAGCAGATAAGTTCGGTTGGGTGCCGAAGAAAGGAGGATAACGACAAAGAAAAGGGGATAGGCACAATACACTACCGTTCATAATTGGCTATTCATTTCGCTGCTGTTCATAATTGGCAATTGATTTCACTGTTGTTCACAATGGGGGTACCGGTGAACTTCTCTCTTAACTCTTAAAAAGAGAGGATTCCAACCGTATTCTAATTTCGGCTGGGTGCCGAAGAAAGGAGGATAATCACAAAAGAAAGGGGAAAAGCATAATACATTACTGTTCACAATTGGTTATTGATTTCAACGGTTGACTTATTATTGACAATATTTAACTGTGCCAATTTTGAACAGTAGTAATTTGAACAATATAACATTTCCTTCAGTATTTGTTTTTTGGATTTGTTCTTGCATATTACATTCAGGTTCTTGCTGAAACATTTTCTATCTATATATAGGCGGCCCTTTTTTTCCCTTAGGTTCTTTTCATTTTTTATTTCTCTCTCTTCCGAATTTGTTTTTTCCGTTAATCTATTCCCTCACTCTATATATAATTGCCTTCTCTTTCTGTAGTTTTAATTTATTTTTCCAAATTTGTGTTTTCGTTCTTCTATTGCATTTGCTGTTGGAGTTATACACGGGTTTGTGTTGTGGGTTTTTTTTTTTGGCATTGCAATTTCGATTTCATTGTTGTTTATATTTGTTAGTGTTTGTTTGAATTTTATAATTTGATCAGTTTTTTCTTAGTGGCCATGTTGTGGAGATGGTAAGAAAAATGAAATGTGGAGTTGTTGTTAATCCACGACAATTATAGATGTTTGGTTTGGATAAGTAGTTGATGTCGGTGTTTTGCAGTTGTGTTTTTTTAGTGGTTTTTTAACATTTTGAAGTTATCAACTGGTTGTTACTAATCATGGGTTTTCTTGTTTTATTACGTGTTTTTAGCCTGTATAGATTATCGGAGTTTTATCTGATATCATGTTTATACATTCTCTATCATTCTTCTTTACCTGTTGGTGTGGTTATGTTGGAGTACGAATACAGGAAATATGCGTATATTTATAATCTGATCGCTTTTTTTTTGGCCGAAATGTTGTATAGATGGTGAGAAAAAAAAACTGCAGTTGTTGTTAGTCCAGGGCAGTTTCCTGAAAGTGAGTCTGCTCGGTTGTCGACAGAAGAGAGTCGAGATGTAACACCTGGCATTTCAGCGACAGGGATAGCTGTTGACTTGGGTGAATATCCTTTGATGGACTTATGTATGCTTAAGGGGTTAAGGCGGGAACAGAATATGAATGGAAAAGATGAATCAAATGTTGATGTTTCTATCATGCCTGGTAGGGATAGTGTTACGTTACTTGTGGATGAGCAACCAAGAATTGTAACAGATGCTGAAAATTTAAATGAAGAGTTTACTCAAACTCATTCGGTAAATTTGCTGCCTGTGCGAATTGTGGGACACAGGGGATCTAGAAAAAGGGATAGGCCTATTGTTCACTTAGGTCAAATTTCATCCAATGAGTTATCCATTCAGTCGAAAAAAACAACTTGTAGGAACGGGTGGTTTCGGTAGTGGGCCCATTTTAGATTCGCTGAATGTTTGTCACCAAGGGGAAGGAACTAAATGTAACGTTGTTCAAATTTCGGGAGATAATGTTTCTGTTAAAGGCCAAATGGAAGTTGATGTCTTGGCTGCATGTTCTGAGAATTATGTTACAATGGGTATAGAAGAACAGATGAATTTTGCTGTGGGAGTCGAAAATATGATTACACATAAAGGACCTAAAAAAAGGAAGATTAGGCCTATTATCGATTAGGAGTTAATTCGTCAGAAACGGTGATGTCGTTGCCGACGAATTTCCCGTCGAGCAGTCGACCGGTTGGAGGCGAGGGTAGGCGAATCCCAGTTTTTTCCGATGGTCATAAGGATGGGGAAGAAACTATATATAATGCTCTTCAAGTTTCGGCAGATGTCGTCACAAAAAAGGGTCAACTGGGTGTTGATGTATTGGTTACGTCTACAGAGGAAAACGCTGTGTTGGTTATGGACAATAATCCGATAAATGGTCGCCATGTGGATACAGATGCTGAAAGTTTGCGGCCAGCACATGGACACCTGTTTGCTGATTGTTTTGAGGTGCCTATTCAAGATTGTGAAGAAGTGTAAGTCTTCGTGTTTGTCGTCAGCATTGTGGATATACTCCGATTCAGACTATGATTATGGTATTTATTTGTATTTATTGATGTTTATGTTCTTTTATAGAAAAAAATCCAGGAGTAATTGGAAGCCGTGTAATGCAGGTAATATTGTTTAACATTGTGTGAAAGCATTATTTCGGAAAAGTGAGTATTATAAACGTGTTCATATGATCTATGATGTATGGAATTTATATCGCGTTTTTTTGTTTTGTTTTCCAATTTCGAACAGGAAATTTTTCGGCATTGCCGTATTCCGACGCGACATGGCATACTGTGCCAGTTGAAGTTTGTGAGACGTTGTAAGTTTTTGATGCTCTTCTCCTTTATGTGATGTATTATTTGAAATTAATATATATTATGGTTTTTTTGTAGATATGAATAAAAAAACGGAAAGAACGTGATATTCATTTTTTTTTATCTGCCAACAAACGAAAAAAAATTCAACAACGTAAGAGCAAAAGATCTCTGTTCTTTGCACAGTCTGCGTCTGCCAAAAACCCCGGTTTAAAAGGTATTGTTATGGTTTTTTTATAATATAAGAATTAACTATTGTTTGTGATATTTGGAATGAATCTAAATGTATTTGTTTTTTTTTTTTTCAAAAACGTTTTTCCCACGTTTCGGCAGTGACACCACTCGCAATCATTGGTGAAAACCTTCCAGTTGGCCCTCTTGTGCTTGATAGTGCTTCGTGTTGTTTGTATTGTAATGCCAAGAAATTCATGTATGAAACTCCGAGTTTCTGCTGTTGTGGCGGACAGGTTGTGGTTGCAGCCAATCAATTTCTTGATGAGTTATGCCAATTATATTTATCAGAAGAGGAAGACGCTAAACATTTCAAGCAATACAGCCGAATGTATAACAATCTCTTTGCTTATAGTTCTATACGCGGTAAAACGGAATCGACTACATATAAGGGGATATATTTATTTAAAATGCATGGGCAAGTATATCATTCTGTTCCAGATCTTCTGCCTGATGATGGTAGCCCTAAATTTATGCAGCTCTATTTTTATGATGGCCAACACGAAGTTCAGAATCGAGTGAATTGTTTTCCTGAGGTACGGGAGGATATTATTCGTATATTAATGAAGATTACTGAAATAAATCCATATGCAAGATTTTTTAGATCGTTGAGGGAAATAGAGATAGATGAAGACACGCAGATAGTATTATCTCAAAATCCTGTTTCGGATCAACGTGTTTATAACGCACCTGTTTCTGATGAAGTTGCTGCAGTGTGGCCAGATGGTGCGTCTTCAAGTCAGATTAGCACTCCACATATTATTGTGCATGGAAAGTCTACCCAAACTCATCAGATTTGTCATTATTATGGGTGCTATGATCCATTACAATACCCGTTATTATTCCCTTTTGGTGAATGTGGATGGACTCAGAATCTTAAGAAGCGAAATGTTGGTGGGAAAAGTCGTACACAACAAGTTCCGGATCCTATTCATTCCTGTACAGTTCATACCGTGCAGAATTTCTTAGACGAAGAAGAATCACGCAGGTGTTTGTTATTTATGCATATTAGTTCGAATTTGTTTTAAACTATTTATTATGCTTGGCAATTTAATGCGTTTTCTTATTTATTTTTGGCAAAATATAGGGACTGTTAAACACAGGACAAGAGCTGATAAGTATATCTCTCCAAGAGAATACTATGCTTATATATTACAAATGAGGCCTTCGAACATGCTCCTTAGAAGTGGAAGATGTTTTCAACAATTTGTTGTGGACATGTATGTGAAGATCGAAAATTCAAGACTCGATTATTTGCGGAACAATCAAGATATCATTAGAGCCGATCTTTATCAAGGTATTCTTGATAGTGTGACAGATGGAGAGACAGATGCTTCAAAGGTTGGACATCTTGTTGTTTTACCTCCGTCATTTAATGGATGTCCTAGAGATCTAAAACGCCGGTATCTAAATGCAATGGCTTTAGTTCAAAGATATGGGAAACCGAATTTGTTTATTACCATGACATGTAATGCAAATTGGCCTGAAATAAAGTGTGAATTACAGCCTGGAGAGAAAGCTCAGGATAGACCAGATATAGTGGCCCGGATATTTCGTGCAAAATTGTTGGCATTAAAAAAACAAATTAAAAAAGAAAGAATTTTTGGTGAAGTGGCTGCAATGATCTATGTTGTTGAGTTTCAAAAAAGAGGATTACCACATGCACATTTTTTAATAATACTGAATCGTGATTTCAAGATAAGAGGGCCATCTGAGTATGATAAGTTTGTTTGTGCTGAAATCCCATCGTTTTATAATCCTCGTCTTCGTAAAATTGTCTTGACTCATATGATGCATGGGCCTTGTGGGAAGCTGAATCCTAAGTGTCCTTGTATGAGAATGGATGGGAAAAAAATGATCTGCAAAAATGGATATCCAAAAGATTATAATTCAGAGGCAGCAAACAACAAAGATGGGTATCCTGTATATAGGAGAAGTCCAACAGGAGAAAAAGTAAAGGTCCGAAGGGCTGAGTTAAATAATCAGTGGGTAGTACCCTATAATCCATATTTATTACTTATGTTTGATTGTCATATAAATGTTGAGGTTTGTTCAACTATTAAATCTGTGAAATATTTATATAAATATGTTTATAAAGGGCATGATCGAATATCATTTAAGATATCTGCTACAAATGAAAAAAAAAAATCGATGAAATAGAACAATTTCACTCTGGCAGGTTGGTATTGAGTGCTTTATTTACATATTTAGTTCACATTTCTTTATATTATGATATTATGGTTACAAATATTACATTTGAATTTTGTTGTTTGAAATTGTAGGTGGGTATCTTCATGTGAGGGAATATGGCGAATATTTGGTTTTGATTTATTTGAAATTTTTCCTCCTGTTATGCCATTACCAGTGCATCTTCCAAACATGCAATCCATTGCTGTAAGACCATTTGAAAATCTTAGACGAGTTGTTAGAGATCCTAAGCGCGCACGTACACCTTTAACGGAGTACTTTGCAGTTAATGCGACAGTTGATGGTGGTGTTAACCTTCTATACAGTGATTTTCCAGAACACTACACATGGAATTCAAATGTGAAAAAATGGAAAGACCGAAAAAATGCACTCACTATTGTTGGTAGAATATCCTTTGTCTTGCCTGCCGAAGGTGAACGTTATTATCTTCGACTATTGTTACTTAATGTACGAAATTCAACTTCGTTTACAGACTTACGTACAGTTGACAATTATGTTTGTGCTACATTTCAAGAAACTGCTAAACGGCTAGGCCTTTTGGAGGATGATGATGTTGCATCCATTTGTCTAACTGAAGCTGCAGAGATACAATTACCGTGTGCTTTGAGACGGCTGTTTGCAACAATACTGATATTTTGCAAGCCCAGTGATCCAGCATTTTTATGGGAAAAGTATTATGCCTCATTGTCAGAAGATTATAGGTACCAGTTTAAAGATTGTCCCGGAAAAGTTAAACAACTCACTGTTAGTTTATTAGAGCAACATCTTGAATCAATGGGTAAATCACTGAAAACATTTGGGCTGGATCATCGGGCCTATAATGTCAGTGACGAGTTTAGGAAAACGAGAGACATAGCAGATGCTTTGAATACACCTATTCCTGAAGAATATATAAATTCACGATCACGGTTGAATGCGGCTCAACTGAATGCATTTGATGTTATAATGAATCACGTGAAGGAGGGAAAGGGAGGTGCTTTCTTCATTGATGGACCAGGCGGCGCGGGTAAGACTTTTTTATACAATTGTTTATATGCAGAAATCCGAATGATGAATAAAATTGTACTGCCCACTGCGTCATCTGGAATAGCTGCATCAAATCTACATTCAGGCAGAACAGCTCATTCAAGATTTAAAATACCTGTTGATCATGAGAGTTGTTTTACGTGTGATGTGCCAAAACAAGGTAGTTTAGCACAATTATTAAAAGAGGCAGCTTTAATTATCTGGGATGAGGCTTCTATGGCGAATAAAGCGAATTTACAAGCACTTGATTTGTTGTTACAAGATATATGTGAAAATACGACACTTTTTGGTGGTAAACTTATCATTTTCGGCGGAGATTTTAGGCAGGTTTTACTGGTTGTACCCTAAAAGTTATTAAGACAGGCTGTTGAATCGAGCATTATCGCTTCATATATCTGGCCATCTTTGAAAAGATTTAAGTTAACAGAAAATCAGAGAGCTCGTGAAGATCCAACATTCTGTGCGTTTTTGTTATCTCTTGGTAATGGTGAATTACAGACAAATGAGCGTGGATATGTAGAGCTTCCTAATGGAATGGTACATCATTTGGAGATTGACAGGGATCCTATTTTGGAGATTATAAAAGCTACTTTCCCAGAAGTTGAGAAAGGAACGATTACATCAGACATCTTTGCAGATAGAGCAATCTTAACTCCGATGAATGATGATGTGGATACGGTCAATTCGGTTCTGATTGAACAGTTTCCAGGAAATAAGGTGATTTACAAGAGTTTTGATGCAATGCTCAACGATACTTGCAATATCTATCCATCAGAGTTTGTAAATAAGCTTTGTCCAGGAGGAATGAGTCCTCATGAGCTTGCGCATAAAAAAGACTGCCCTGTGATTTTGCTACGTAATATAATGCCTTCGGATGGTCTCTGTAATGGGACGAGATTGATTTGCAAGATTTTTCAGCCCAACGTTATCGTCTGTGAAATTTCTGTTGGTCAATATAAAGGGAAAACTATTTTTTTGCATCGAGCAACTTTACGCCCTCCAACAAATAGCAGATATCCATTCACTTTTGAAAGGAAACAGTTCCCAATTAAATTATGTTTTGCTATGACGATTAATAAGTCACAAGGACAAACACTGAATCAGGTTTCGGTCTATCTTCCTCGACCGTGTTTTGCACATGGTCAACTGTATGTGGCTTTATCTCGGGAAACAAAGGCTAAAAATGTTGTTGTTTATACAATGAAACCGCCAGATGGGTATCACGTCAACTCGGTTAGAAATTTAGTGTCCTTTGACATTTTGAAGTATTCAAAAGTTGTTTAACTTCAAACATGTTTGTTATTGTATAATGGCATTTTTGCAGATGTTGTAATCTTTTTTCTTTAAAAAATACTATACTAATTATAGCAAACGTTAATGTGTTCTACAAAATAGTATAATTACAAATATTGATATAAAGTTGTATTTCTTTTCATAATTGTCAATAAGTTATGTTCCATTTAAAGCATTCGTTATGTTAACATCATTTGTATTTTTTTAACAAAATTAATGTTGTAGATGTTATATACTCTGATTCGGGAATTATGTAGATCTATCACATACGAATTTGTGTAAATATGTTTACTTACCGTATATATTAAACTTCTTTTAAATTGTTTTTAAAAATTAGTTAGAGATCAACGTATTATTGTTGCAATTAACATATATTACAGTTAATTGGAAGTTTAATTTGGTGAAATGTAGATATTGTCAATGATTATAACAAACAACGGAGAGTGTAATAAATATATTGGGATGTTTTGTCGATAGTTGGATTTTTATGAATGTGTTTACTAACTGTTTAATTAGGAATTTTGATGATTATGTTAATTTCTATTAAATTTCCATATTCAAGAGCCTTTTGTTACAAATATCAAGTGTATATATATTGTGAAAAGTAATAAATTATATCTTTTAATAAAGTTATATTTTATTACAAGAGTTTATTATTGTTTTTCATTTTGAAGGATATATATACTAATAACAAGTTTGTGTTTGTTTAATGTATTCTACAGTACAGATATTATGTGTTATTATTTAAAATTTAAGAAATTGCAAATAAGTAGATCTGAGGACAGGTATTTGTATTCTGATAGATACTTTAATCTGTATGAATTATTCTTACAAACTGTTTATTAATCAATATATCGTTTGTATAATTACCAAGTACTTTGAACTATAAATGATTGTATTTTGAAATTGGTAAAATGTGGATAATTTAAACGGTTATTATAACTACCATTATTTAGTGTAATTAAATAGTTGCGACGTTTTGTCGGTAGTTAGACTTTAAAAAAAATTAGTTTAATAATAGTTTAATGGGAAATGTGACGATTCACTTAACTATTAACCTTCTCTATATTTAAATTCAAAAGTTTACAGATATATATTCTCTCCGCTATTCATTAATCAATTTCCTGCAAACCGAACCCTAGAAATACCAATTTTTTTTCCCACAGTTAATTTGCATCCCAAATATCTATTAATCTCATTCATACTTGAAAATCTGACATGACGACGTACAAGCCCGATGATTGGAGTCTTAGGGACAGGTAATTATTTATGAATTCATTTGGATTTATTTTCGTTTTTTCAATTTCCATTGTCGTACGATTGTTCTCCATTATTATGGTTAGATGTCGGAATTTGGGTAAATCCCCTGTTGTTGGTGGAGGAGAAGAAGTTGAAAGGCGACAAGTTGTATCCACAGGTCCTCGGCGTAGACAGCTGCTCGGACATATGCCACCTCTTAGTCACACTACTACTCTTTCTAATACGGAGGAAAGAGAGCCTACGATCAATGTTCCGATACCGGCTATACCATTAGCTTCTGTTAGACCATTTTCATATGTGTCATTCAGGGAGTGGGAAGAGCCTACTTCGTCTGACAGCGGTGCTGTTCATGGACCTCGTCGTCTTCCAGAAGGTGCAGAGGAATGGTACAATCCAATTGAAAATTCGGGTCTTAGAACTGCTGCTCCGTACGGATGGTGGGTTACACAGAATGCCCGATATCGTTTCGCTGAGCAAATTGAAATTTTCTATGGTATTTATGAACAAGACGAATACTAGTGTCGAATGCCAGTTATAGAAGATAGAATTCACAGACCGCCGCCTGGGTATATTGGAGTATATACTAGGCAGTTACAATCAAGGTTGAGGTTTCCTCTTCATCCTTTTGTAACCAAAGTGTTGAATGAGTATAACATTGCGTTGTGTCAGTTGACTCCAGCCAGTATTCGAAGAGTTATGACATTCTTATGGGTTTTCCTTTTTTTAGGGTTTGACCCCAGTGAACACGTTTTTACGGCAATTGCATGCTTTAGTACCAAATAGACAGTCTTCCGAACCGAATGGTCTTGGATGGTGGCGAATTGAAGCAAAACGAGGTTATTTAACTACTTGGCCTCATGACACTTGGATAAAGATTGGAGGGTCAATGGATTTGGATCAGGGCTCCATCCGAAGAGGAACATTTAAACTATTTTTGAGCGCCGAGATACCTGAGGATGCCTGATCCGAAAATGTCTGCTATCGGTCCTGATGAATTTTCTGCTGAAGATAATCAACTTATGAAGCTCTTCAGAAAGGTGGCTACAGGAAGAGGGGGACGAGAGAAACATACTCCAGCCACTTGGCTTCCTTGTTATCACTATATTTTCCAAGAGAGGATATTAGCTGCCGTCGGCCTCAGCCGAAAGTACCAAGGGGGTAAGATTCTCAGTTGGGGCCGAAGGCTCGTTTCTTTTTTTTTTTCACTGTTGATGTTATTGTTGTCTGTTTTGATATTTTTTTTTAAAACCGTTTCGTTTCTTTTTTTTTCAGTGTTGCATGAGTCGAATTGCGGGTTGAATTATGAACGTCTTGGAATTAACGTCAAAAGAAAAGTGACCAAAAGAGACCCTGCGATTACTCCTACTTCTGAAAGAGCTCCTGCACTGCGTGCAAATTATCTTCAGATAGTAGATTCTTCTGAATATTCTAAGCGTAAGCCGTGGTACTTGAAACGTGATCCATTATTTCTTTTGGGTCTTGAAGAGGAAATTCTAGCCACTGCTGCTGCTATAGAAGCTGGTCTTTCCGAGTCTACTCCTGACACCGAAGACAACCAAAGTTCTGAGGACGAATTGTTGGATAATTTGGTAAGTATAGGTTTGATCTTTACTTTGTTTTGCTTAAACGTTTTTCAAAGTATGAAATGTTAATGCATATATTTTCTATAATGTGTTGTGTACATTTTCATTTCCAGTTTCTTACTACATGTTGCACACAACTTTATTAATTGAGTAGAATATTGTTTAGAACACTGTTTCAAGTACTGTTTTTGTTACTGAATGTTATGCTGCTGAAGAGTTCAATTAATATTAAATTGTGTTAGGCTTTTTGTTACGAATCAGTTGATTTGCGAAATTTTAATATATTCCTTGTTTCAATGTAACATTTCACTGATCTTTGTTCTGCATATATACATGCAGTAATACGTGTGAAATATAATTGTGTTTAGTACACTCAGTTTTACATATAATCCAACTACAATATTCATTCCACAGGAATTACTACTAATTTATAAAGATTTCATTAGTGATAGTGTTTTGCAACATATTGTTTGTTAACTGTTAAACATATTCGTACTTAATCAGTTATAGAATTTCTGTTGCTTTTCTATAATGAATTGCTTGGTTTCCTTATGGAATTTCAATATATGAGTTTTGCATTTTTAGAATACATTGTTAATTTTCTAAGATACATAGTGCATGTTTCGTTTTAAGACTTAAAGATCTTCTTAAAATGTTATATGGCAAACGTATATTGTTATTATGTGGTGGACCTATAGGGATTGAATCAAGAATGAAAGATTGGTTTCCTTTTTCTTATTAGTTATTTGATTTTGGGTGATTTAAATAGTATTGTTATTTTTGTATTTGTAGTTTATTTCCAATAATTGGAATTGTGCTGATAACTTATTTCTGCAGCCTCTTACCCTTCTGTTGCAGAGGAAGGAAACAGGAGTAACAGCCCAACCGAAAGAGCCTTTATTGGATACCTCTTCATCAGATAAAGAAATACAAGATATGGGTAGAAAGAGAAAGTCTAGGGCTGTTTTCAACCCAGCCCAGTTCCCTTTAGAATTTGTGGCTCCGTCATCGAAAAGAACAAAAGCAAACGATGGTCCAGGAGAATTGTCTAAGGAGATAGATCCTGAACCTTTGACCTCTGCAATACAAATTGACAACATTCAGCAGGGAACTCTATCTACTTCTGAAAAACAAATTGAAAACATTCAGCAAGAAACTCCCTCTACCCCTGCAAGACAAATTGAAAACGTTGAACAGGATAGTCTTTCTGGAGCGCCTCATCTTTCTGAATTCACGGTAAACCCTTTTGCTGAAGAAAGTCAAAGACAGGCTAATGTTTTCATTACACACATTGAACATACTGATATGACAGTTGGAGGAGAAGAGTCTTTACATTTCAAGGAAATGGATGAACATATTCATGAGCCTCAACAAATAGATGTGCCATCGGTTTCTGGTGTAAATTCTATTAGAACTTTTCGGTCAAATGATATGGGGTATGAGTCAACCTCAGTTGTGGTACTCCCCGATGTTGTGCGGAAAAATTTGATGGAAAACCAGAATGCTGCTGCTGGGATTTTTGGGGATTTATCTGCCCTATCCGAAGTGGAGAAAGCTAGATTCTGTTTGACACAAACTGCTGCAGGAGCGTGTGAAACTTTTTTGAGAGTGTCGGACCCCGTCGCAGAGAACTTCAAATTATTGTTGCAGGTACTATTTCCAGGCAAATTTCGCTTTAAGTGTTTATCTGATTCTATCATTTTAACTATTTGTATTTACAAAATGTAATTTTTCTTCAATTATTTGTTTTAATTATTTTGTACACTCTAAATGTGTAGTTTGTTCATAACCATGTCATTACTGCCAGTTTAAATGAAGAGTTGAAGAAAAGTGCTGACACGGCAGAATATCGGGTTCATATGGCAGAGACAGCGCAAAAGTGTGCTGAAGATGCTGCTTCAGACAGCAAATTACGGATAGAAGATATGACAGAGAAGTTTCACACATTCTTGCGCGAAATGGAACAATTAATTTCTCCTTATGTTGAGCAAGGCGAGGTCCTGACTCACTCTGATGGAGCTGTGGACCTTCCATCGTTGAAAGTTCAGATTCAGGAGAAAATAGATCAGGCGATGGCTGCTAAAGATCAAATAGTCAGGGATCTTGATGACCAGAATTCTCTTTTTAGGAAAGAAGCTGAAAAGAAACAGACTGAACTTGAGGCCGATAATAAGCGTCTAAAGGATTTAGTTTCATCTACAGAGCTCAGTCTAACAGAGTTGCGAGGACAACTTTCTCTGGAAAAGGAACAAAATCAACTGAAATAGTCTGAATTTGAATCTGAGATCGAACGTCTGAAGAACACAATCTCTTTTAATAACCTAGAATTGATAGGGGTTAAAAATCAACTTCAAACTGAGAAAGATGGTGCTGCTACAGTCAAAGCTGATTTGGAAAATGCCAGAGAGTTGCTGAAAACCCGAATCTATACACAGGCTGAATACGATGAGGGCTACGAGAATGGTTACAAAGTTGCTCGCCGCCTTGCGATTAATCTTGAACCAGAAATTAATTGGGATTTGGCTGAAGAATGGTCTATGGACCTTCACCATTCAAAAATGCAGCAGCCTCATCCTAATGAGCTTGCTTTACTTAGTCGGCTGGCTAAAAAGGAAGAATTGGAGGAAGATGATGTAGACAAAACTGGGTCCCCGATTCAAGATGTTAAGACTACTGCATCCTCTGTTCCTGACACTACAAAGGCTCCTAATATCAATATAGCTGATTCTGGTGCATAGGAGATCGGGCAGTCATCTGCAGAATCTTGCGGCTCTACAAGTGCTTGAATGAATAACGCTGTTTCTGCTCTTTTGCCTTTTTTCCAGCTTGCCATTTGTACAAAACACTTTGTTTAAATAACATCTGAGTTTGTACTAAATTCGGCAACTGTGTATCCGCGTGTAGGCGGTTGCCGGTTTAGAATTCTCTTTGTTATTCTCTTATCCGAACTACATTTTTACTTTTTGCTACAATTATCCCAGGTATCAATATTAGGTTCAGGAGTCATATTTAGATTAATTTCAATTGCTTTGTAGGCTTTACATTTGGCTTCTGTGTTATTGTTTTAGTTTATGCTTCTTTGTTGTTCTGTTGTGATTTATCTGTTAACTATCAAGTACATAGCTTTATTTTAAAACTCAAAACAAGCTTTCAATTAATCTAATAAATATATGGTCTTTGTCAAATATCAACTGTTCATGGAGTTTCGACATCTAATTAAAATTCATGTAAAAGGTGAAATGATGTATCTAAAATAATAAATGTTAATAGAAATTATTATGCACCTAAATTTTCATCAATTACATATTATAATACACAAAGTAATACGATTATTACAATAAAGAATTCTATCCGTGATACTGAACTTAATTTATGTAGTATAGTATTAGCGTATTGGCGTTATTGCCTTCGGCAATGAACTGTTAAACATCGTAATGACTACGGTCAGGTATAGAACTGTTTGGTTTTGTATTGTTAACTTCGGCACAATTTACATGTTTGAATTCCGGCGAATCTTGCTCATATGCAAGACACTGCAATCCTACCAAAGAACGATTTCGGCTATAATTTTGTAGACGGTGAACTTGGCAAAGAGACTAAGATTATAAAGACATCTCCTCAGCATGTTGTAGCCTTGAACATTGTCCAATCAATTTATTCGATTTTAATTATTAAGCTTAACGTTATTGTATGTCGTTTATGCTATGAATGATTTCGGTCACTGGGAACTCAGTAAAGTAAATAGCATATAATGATAATAACGTTATTTGTAATTTTTCAATCCCATCTTTAAAAAATATTTTGGCCTATAACATCTAAGATAAGAACAACCGAACTTGGCTTATCAACATCTGAGAGTAATCAAACAAACGTGATGATCGAATATAAAAAGTTATACTTTATTTAGAAGTTCTAAATACAAGAGTTTGTTATCAACAACGATCATCCATCTCATTCCCAGCTCCATAGCACACCCTACTTTTTATTTCGCATACATCCTATTCTATACGATTTCCGAAATATTAATATTAACATAGGTCGTTACACAAAAAGATCACTGTTCAAAAAGCAAGTACTTCTTCGAAGGTCATTACTCTATTCCTTTCATCTCTTGTTTTTTATTTTCTATAACTTCAATGTAACTTTACATAATCTAGATTAACTGTGCAAGTACTTCAGCGCATACAATAAACGAGAGTACAAAATAAATAAGTATAAATTAAATGTAACTTCAATGTAACTTTACATAATCTAGATCCTATACATTCTTGTGCAAGTACTTCGGCGCATACAATAAACGAGAGTACAAAATAAATAAGTATAAATTAAAACAACTGATATGGACGACGTACGAAAGTATGTAATGCAACAACGGATAAACATAATCATCACTAAATTATGTAGCATGTAATACAGTACCTCAACTTTTGAATAGATTAAATAGTACCGGGGTTTTTGAAACTAATTGAAGCGATGCTACAGTTAATAAATTAACCAAAGGAGAAAACAAATACCGTTCCAAATCAAGAATATTAACTGAGGCGCAAACCAACAAATAAAACGCCGGAAAAAAAAAAACAAAAAGCCACAAGATATTTGATGCAGTACGCATTTCTATTCCTCTATCTTTGAAGACCTAAAGGATGGATTTTCATAAATAAATAAACACACTTATGAGACTCTCTTCAATTTATACGTACAACGGTTCAACTTGACTATATACGTAAAACAGTACCGGCAATCATAACGTATATGTCAAAGTCAAAATTTTAGTTGTGAAATTCTTTTGACTATCCTCTAATGGCTAACGGTGAAACAATATTTCAATATGTTACTGATACTAAGAAAGCGAAGTTTAGTCTTACGGTAATGTATTATAAAACTATTTAACCAACGTACATTTCGGCTAGCAAATCAATAAATAAGAAACTTAAATGAGTAGTTATTCTGCGGAAAACCATAATTGTAATGAATTAGTAGAAATGTTAATTATTTTTCATAAATGTAAAATCTTTTGAAAAAAGGCCGTATTTATTTTTTAACAATAAAAAGGAATTAATTGACAAGTTACACTTCAATCGACACGACAATACGTAGGAAATCTAAAAGTCGGTTCTAAAACAATTTAAACCCTTTCATCATAACTAGATTCACTCTAACATCCAAATTTTATATCCAATTACATTCCATTATTACGCTTAACGGTTTCCAATACTTATCTATTCGATAAATGTTTTGGTAACTGAAATTTTTTTAAAACAGATTATTATACTCCTCTTTTTCTCCTTCCTTTATTTATAACAACACAACCATCAAATACTCCATTTATAGAAACTGCCCTTATCTGTCGAAAACATTCATCGCTATCATCTTTCCATTTAAACCTCTTACAATTATAATTCAAAGTATGAGTGACATCAGTTATCCCGTAAGAGAAATAGATTACATTAGTAGTTTACATGATACAATACTGTGTCATATACTCTCTTTTCTACCAACAAAGTCTGCTGTAAAGACCTGTGTATTATCAAAAAGATGGAAGAAAGTGTGGAATCAAGTACCCGTACTTGATTTCACGGAAATACCAGATGATTATCATCCATTGTGCAACGGTGCAAAAATTTCGTACAATAAATTTGTGAACAAGGTATTAGCTGAGAACAATGTGTTCTATTTGAAGCGTTTTTGTTATGAATTTTCCTGTGATGATGACTGTGATTACTACGAATCTTGGTTAAATGCTGCAAAACAACATGAATGTTATGAAATTGATTTGAATTTCATATTAGGCGGAAGTCGAAGTTACAAATTTATGGAAATGATGTATGGAAAGGAAGTGAAGATATTGAAACTAACGGGTGTGAAAATGAATGATACACCAGAGTCTTTTCATCTACCATCCCTTGAAATTGTTCACTTTTTTAAAGTCGAATTTAACGGTGACGAATATATGAAAAGGTTTACATCAAATTGTGCAGCACTCAAAACAATTATTATCAAGGAGTGCACCGGTTTCGCCGATATGCTGTTTGTAGAGTCCCTGACACTTAAATCATTAGAAATTTGTGATATCGTGAGCCAGGCTTGGGGCAGATCTCTGATTATTACCATTAAAGCACCGATTCTTGAGTACCTTAAGATAAATGATGAAATAACATATTATATGGTTGATAGTTTACCTTTGCTTACCGAGGCAGATCTACATCTTAGGGAAATTTTTCTAGTTATGGTCAGTGAATATGGAGGTGATTATGATATTTATCAAAATATCAATTCTCTTATATGCAAGGCTTCCAAAACCAGATCTTTGAGACTCAAGAATTTTGGGGTAAGTATATATTTTTACAATATTTCTATTTAACTTATAATGGCGACATATTGATATAATACTTTACGTTGTTTTGAATTAATAATATTCATCTAAATTGGACGTAGCTTTTTCTTAATGGAAGACAACTACCGACTTTCGGAAACCTGACTCATTTGGCGGTAAAAGCCGAAAGTTGCACCTACGAGTTACTAAGAAAAACTCCCAACTTGAAATCATTAATACTCGAAGAGGTAAGTACATAAGAATGATGTCGTTATTTGTTTTCCTTTCGTAACCTGAATGAAATGAATTTTAATCTAATTATGTCAATATACTTGATATTTGTTTTACAGGTTGAGTGGATTGATACCTCTTTAAATTGTATAGCCGAAGAAGGTTGTCTATCAAATCTCAAGCATGTAACAATCTTCTTAGACAACGTGTGTCAAGTACATATTGTAACGTGCATATTAAAAGCTGCAACAAACTTGGAGAAATTGACCATTAATTTATGCTGTCCAAAAATATCCGAGAGCAGAATACGACGAGAACTTTCGGCTATACTAATACCAACATCATCCATGAGATCAGAGGAGAAAACTATTACTTTGTGTTGCCCGACGTTATCCGAAAGACGCACTCAACATTTTCCGGTTATACTTACACCATCGCCATACTTGAGCATTACAGTTGTTTTTACAAAGTAAACAATAGATCCTTAAACAAGCTCGAGAATGAATACGAAGTCAATTTAATCTTTAATCTTTTGTTTAGCAATTATTATATTAATATCTAAATGCATATACTTTGAATATTACAATCTTTGTTCCTGCTTTTATCTAAAATACTGTCAATGTTTGTTCATTAAATATTACGGTCTTCGTTCTTGCTTTTGTTCCAAATACTTTCGCTGATGATTATTATTCCATCAATCTCCGAAATAACAATTAGTCGTTCTTGATTTACCAGACAATAAAAAAAATCAATAATAACCAAAAAAAAAAATCACTAAAAATAAAAACTTACACTGAATTTTTTGAAAAAAAAATCACAAAAGCATAAAAAATAAATAAATAGAGAAATGATATATTATTATGACTTTAATCACCACAATTTCAATATAAAAAGCCGAAATTATCAATAATATATTACTTCGGTAAAATTATTACCATAACTTAACAACTCTACGTATCAAGATTATTTAGTTTAAATATATTGTAGACAACTTATTTTAAAAAACCAAAACACGATCACCCAATCACAAAATAACTTTTATTCAGATAATATTAAAATAAACAACAAATTATCATAAAAAAAGACCACTGTGAGATCGGCAAGTGCCGAAACATAAGTATTGTCTATTCAACAAAATGAACGGCCGAAACATATGTCTGATTTAATTGGCAGATATACAACGTACTTATTTATTCTATAACAATTAGTCGGTCTTGATTTACCAAACATTAAAAAAAATCAATAATAACCAAAAATAAAAGCACTAAAAATAGAAACTTACACTGAATTTTTTATAAAAAAAATTAAAAAAAACAAAAGCAAAAAAAATAGATAAATGAAGAAGCTATATATTATTTCGACTTTAATCACCACAATTTCAGTGTAAAAAACCGAAATTATCAATAATACATAACTTCAGTAAAATTATTACCATAACTTAACAACTCTACGTATCAAGATTATTTAGTTTAAATATATTGTAGTCAACTTATTTTAAAAAAACCAAAACACGATCACCCAATCACAAAATAGCTTTTATTCAGACAATATTAAAATAAACAACAAATTATCATAAAAAAGGACCACTGAGAGATAGGGAAGTGCCGAAACATAAAATCTTACGCCTACATGATGTAGTACTGTCTATTCAACAAAATGAACGGCCGAAATATATGTCTGATTTAATCCGCAGATATACAACGTCCTTATTCATTCTAAAATGCCTTCATCTATTATATCATAATCTACGATTTCATCTTCCATACATTTTATAAGAAAATAATTATTCTTAATTTACCGGTGACTAGCAATCAAAAATATGGACCTTTTAATCCTAAAGAGTTAACAACATCATAGTAGCCAAAACAATGTCCTACAACGCGAACACTTCTTTTACAAAATTACTTTCAATATCACACAAATAAATATTCAAGTTTATTAACGTACCTTCATCGTAATAAATGATAATCCTAAAGTATGAATATTATTCAGAATATGCTTTCTAAAATCGTCATCAACGTTCTCGGTAACTGTTTCAAATTGTCCTAATACTACATTAAAGTATATGTATATCGATATCTGATAACTTTATTCTACATAAGTTAAAATGTAATAATTAACTAGACCAGAAATTATGTTCATTCGACTACAATTATAATACGGTTTAAATATTTCGTCTAACTTACTATACATATATTTAACCATGGCAGTTTCTAAAATACTTTCCCGCATCCCTCTTACCAAACTTATACATATTTATATATTATAATAGCACTTATTACCCATATACATTCAATTGTCAAATCGCAACATCTCATTCGACTTTTAGCATTCTCACTCCTCTTGAAAAATTAATTTGCCCATTACTTAAACCAATGCTTACTTCTTTCGCTTTGTGCACTCATTTAATACAAATGAACAAATATACGTAATAAATATTACTTCATCCATCACCGAAAAAGAAACTAATAACACTACATCATCATACCTATAAAAACAAATTAATACAAGTATTAAAAAAAAACACAGAAAAAATGGAGTAATAAAACTTATTTCCTATATTTATTGAATTATTATTGTGTGAATCACGCCTCTTCACTCCATCATCATACCTATTCACTACCCTTACTATTTTCATTTAATTACACACCTCTAATATTCTACTTATATATATGTAGCTCTTCCATGCTTTCCTTTTTTATTCTGTCATGACTTTTCCTCTTTCTATTCAAACCTCTTCATCATTTATTTCGGATTTTGTGCGTTTCTTTCATCGTAGCAACTTCTTGACACATATCTATTTCGTCTTCCTTGCGTCCTTCGAATCTAAACTGCATTCTTTGTTTCAGTGAGTTTTCTATACTATCATTTCAGTTGTCTTTGTTTCGTTTGCGGTGATCAAGTTTCCTCCACCTATGTTCCGTTCTTTGTTTTTATTCTATATTTTTTAGGGACCAGTAAAGTTGATTATAAATTGTTTATTTGTGTTTTGGATTATGCTTTTCATTCTCTAATTTTTTTAACACGACTGTTTGACTTTATGTTGAATAATTTATCTTCTACTTATGTTAATTTGTTTATGTTTTTTGTATTCATATCCTAATTCCAATTATTTTCAATTTCCCAACAACGTTTCAACAATTATAAATATTTAGTATAAATGGAATTTTATGTAAAGTTTATAGATAAAGATTACATGGCATATGATTTGGTTTTTGTACGCGATTGAAATTTGCGTACAAATGTGTCAACTTAGAGTTTAAGAAAAGAAAGGTAGGGTTTCATAATAATGTTGAAACTTATGTTTTGCTATACATTGTAGGAATCTTTTTATATATACATTATACACCAATGGAGATTGAGGAAGAAGTTGAATTAGCGATTGAAAAATACAAAAGATTCTGTCAAATACATAAACGTATTTTGGAGGTTTTGAAATTAAACGCTATGGAAATGCAGAAAGAAGTTCTACGTAGACAGGCCGAAGTTGATAGGATATTGAAGGACACTGGTGAAGGTTCACAAAATTCAATTAGCGAAGCACCAACCGTGGTAGTCAATTTTATTACATTTCTAAATCAGTTAAAGCCTATTACAACCGATGGTATAGCACAAATTAATAGGCTCAAAGAGGATAAGCAGAAGGAAAGGGAGAAACTCAAATCGGTGGGGTTGAAATATAATAGACAAATAATTTATAAGCACCCATAAAATATTTTTATTGTAAATTTTATTAAATTGCATTAGATAAAATTGTATAATTATAATAAAATGTAAAATATATATCTAGATCGTTTTCTTTCTGTTTTAATTTATGTTTACGTCAATTTATTGTAATTAAAGATGTTTTTTTTTTCTTTTTTATTTATATTTACATGTCCACATTCCAAAGCATAACTTCTTATACGACCTTATACCATTCGATAATATAACGTAACTTTCGGCCAACACATACGTCTTGAAACCCGCGGTTCAATTAAATCACTTAGTACACCTGAACATCGATGACATCAATTTCGGATATGAAGTTCGACGCTTCGACGTTGGCAAATCTGATTTACTTTCAAATGGAATTAAAAAAATCAAACCTCAAAACTTCTTGCAATTATTCTAAAATATATGACTATATATCTTCCAACAATTAAAATTGACCAATTAGATTGACCAATCGATGATAATAAGAGATTTCGACCTAAGAAAGGAGAAAAAAGGACAGAATTGGCAATTGATTTCGCTGAAGCAATTGTTGTACAGTCCACAATGCTAATTTTCAAAATTGACACTGTTCAAAATTGGAAATTGCACAGTACTCTACTATCCGTAATTGGAAATTGGTTTCGGTGGTATCCATAATTCGCAATTGATTTCGTTGCTGTTCACAAGGAGTCTAGCGATTAAATTCTCTCTTAACTCCTACAAAGAGAGGAATTCACTGGCAGACTCATTATTGACAGTATTGAACAATGCCAATTTGGAACGTCAGTAATCTGAACAGTACAACATTTGCTTCAGCATTTGTTTTTCGGATTTGTCCTTGTCTCTTATATTCGGCCTTTTGTCAAAACAATCTCTTTCGAGATGGCCAAGAAGAAGAGAGGGAAAGGAAGGATAGAATAAATAGGAAAAAAAGTTCAACTGGGTGCCGAAGGAAGGAAGATAAGGACAATGGAAAGGGAAAAAGCACAATACTAAGCTGTTTATAATTGGCAATTGAACTGTTCAATACTGTTAATAATGAGTCTACCGTTGAGACAACCGCTGGAATCCTCTCCTTTTAAGAGTTAAGAGAGAAGTTCACCAGTACTCCCATTATGAACAGCAGCGAAATCAATTGCCAATTATGAACAGCAGCGAAATCAATAGCCAATTATGAACAGTAGTGTCTTGTGCCATTTCCCTTTACTTTGTCGCTATACTACTTTCTTCGGCACCCAGCCGAACTCTTCACAACCCATTACTAAGTCTAAGGTTTGGAGTTAACAGAATAATGACCATTTTAAATAAACAATCAACGACCCTAAATATTGTGACCATGCAAGAAAAGGTTGTAAATAGAGGAGAATAACGTGCCACAATAATATTTCATTTATAAAGTCCAAATATAGAACTACATGAATTTATATATCCTCATCTCTTGGAAGAGGTTCAATAGTAGCAAATCTTTCAACCATAGTCGAAGAAAACACCCTGACAAAAAATGTTATATTACCAGCATGATAAATAATCATTAATTCACCATCAACCAAGTGATTTTCATTAACAAAATTTTCCCACCCAATATCAAAACACATATTGCTTCTGGTATCTTCAACAACCTTCACTAACTCCACAGGCCATATACGACTGTTAGGGCCTCAAAGAACTTCCACAGGACTATGGATTCCGGCTAACAAGGCAGTCCAAACCTCCGGAAATACCTACAAGATCCGTACAATTATTTATAAACAGAAAAAACCACATTATAAAAAATATATAAAATATAAAATGAAAAAAAAACTACCAACTTATTTCTATATGCATCTCCGAAAATAACAACATGACTTGGTAAGTTACTATACATCTCTATGATACAGAAAATATATTGAATATATTATGATAAAGAAAAAACTGTATTTATATACAATCAAATTCCACTAAGAAGAACCATATACTATATCGTGAAAGTATTTTAATTATATATACATGTGGCTGATCAATCGTTAGACTAAATATGAATATAACTAAAATTTCATAATATTCTTCAACCTATGTTGACTATAACGTTTGAATCCTAAATAAATCCTCGAAAAATTATAAATTAAATAAATTTATTCTATTTGATTAATAACAACAGTTGACTAATTTTAATACTCAAATTAAAATACAATTAATACTCGAGTATAGTTTTCAACGTCATTTATCTTGACATGAATTTAAATAATGACTTTTAATCTATATTAAAACTGAAAACAATGTAAGAACTTCGGAAAAAAAGACAGAAAAAAACCTTATTACCAACACTCTTACTATTTAATATGTTACGGAAACGATGCACCAGTATATAATTTCGGCTACATATCACACAGAATCAACATGTTAAACGAAGCTGTTAGCAGTCCACAAATTCAGCTATAACTCAACAACAACCCCATATACACCGAGATGAAAGATTAGTAAATTTATTTAAAATAATTATTTATTTAGAATATATCGCAAAAAACTTATCTCACTTTGTACAGTCTACACAAACTTAATTGCCATAAAACCAAAAAAACCAGAACAACAACTGTCTAAGCATATTCACCACCATTGGGGTGCCGCGCGCGTAGCGCGCGGAACAACAACTAGTTAGTCAAAATATACAAAGGAATAGATTTGGCCATAAGTCAAACTCGATTGTAATCTATACATAAAACGTACTACGTACAATCATGGAGGATTGCTAAATTGCGTCCGGTATTTACTAGGTAACGCCCGTATTTCAATACGACATTACAAACATGCCCCCTTTTAATTTTACCCTAATTTACTTTTACCCCTTATAAATTTACCCTATTTTATTTTTACCCCACCAGCCACCAATTATCCACCGCCACCAGACAACCACCAGCCACCATCCTCCACTCCACGTCATAATTTTAAAAAAAAAACCTTTATTCAGAAACGATTTACACAAGCGGTGAATGGACGAGTTTGCGGAATTGGCGACGCCACTGGAGAGGTCGCCTGTGCGTACGGATGAATTTTTATCGTTTTTTTTTTTTATTTCGTAATTGCCAGAGAAACACCTGAAAATTTAGAATTTACCATGGAACATTCTAAAATTTCAGGCGTTCCTACCATGGATCGCCTGATATTTTAGTATGTCCCATGGTAGATTCAAAAATAGCAGGCGTTCCTCACATTGTATTTTCAAATGTTTATGGGAACGCCTGAAAATTTAGAATCTACCATGGGACATACTAAAATATCAGGCGAACCATGGTAGGAATGCCTGAAATTTTAGAATGTTCCATGGTATATTCTAAATTTTCAGGTGTTTCTTCCATGGTACATTCAAACATTTCAGGCGTTTCTACTTATTATTATTATTATTATTATTATTATTATTATTATTATTATTATTATTATAATTATTGTATTTATGTCGTTTATTATTATTAAATAAATTATTATTATATTATTTAATTATTATTAATATTTAATTATTGTTATTAATATATGGGTTCTTAAGTAGTTTGTTTTGTGGTTTTTTTTTTATGTAGGATTCGGAATCAGAAAACGGTGGTGATAGTGTGAATTATAGTGGCCATTTTCAAACCGACACAGTGTTTCCTAGTTATGATGCTGCTGTTGAATAGGCGAAAGAAATTACCCAGCTAATTGGATTTTTATTCGTCTCATCATTGTAAAAAAAAAATGGCTAAAGAAATAATAAAAATCATATACGGAATACTTTGTTATGGCAAAAAGCTTCATTCAATTTGGTTACCAATTATTAGCTAGTCAAATTGAGGTAGAAGCTAAGGGAATTCCATAAGATGAAGAAATTAAGCAAATCACCTCTTTAACTTGGCCATGTAATTCTTGCAATAGTATCAGCCTTTGGGCCTCTAATATCATTGATACAAATTATATTTTGTAAAATAAAACATATTTTACAAATGCTCCTAAAAGCTGTCAGAAATTCTTATATACATCGGGTGCCCGTGTATGGTGGTACTAAGAATATTATTTATTTATTTTGAATATTATCTTTGAACTACGAAGTTTTGGGATATTAAAAACTATAAAGTACATTGTAACATTAATTAATTTTGATTGTGAACTTTATTGTTTAACAATTACTCGTTTAAACAATAACGTTTAGTGGTTTATTCAACACTTCTCATGGGTTTCAACCCTTTCTTATCCTTGCTAGTAGTTAGTATGGCTGAGTTAGGTTATTATTTGATAGGTTGATCGATGACACTTATTCAAAGAATTTGTGCATTGTAAATATGTCTGGTAGAAATTTTATAGTACACCGCATGTGGGCATTTCCATACTCTCCAGACTTCGTATCCCTTGCCTTTTTTTTTTTTTTTTATCTTAAAACTAAAATACTCGTAATTCAATAATAATAAAAAAAATGTACAGTTTTTTCCGATAAAGTCCAAAATTAATAAATAAAATTATCAAATAAAACTCAATTGTGGAAAACTAAGATTTTTTATTTTGTCCATTAAGCTATTTATTTTCTACTGTACTATTTACGAAGTCAAAACAGCTCAATAGTTTTAGTCAATCCTAGCAAGAATACTACAATGTATGAATACCAATGACCGATCACTATTAGCATAGAAAATATTGATTGAGATAATTCGCCTTATTATTTAGTTATTTAATTCCTTATACTTCGTATAAAAGATCATGTGAGACAACATACCAAAAAAAGTGCATCAAATTTTAATTTGGCCTATAAAATGATTTTATCCTATATTGTTATAAAATAGAAGAAAAGAAAGAATGAAAGATGAAGATGTAGTGCTATTATTGATTGTCTCTTCCATTTTCCATACAACATACATATATACATTGGAATTGTAACTTCCAAATGACAATAAGAAGCCACTATTATGAAAAGAGTTACGAAGGTATGTAAAAAAGTTAAGGGAGTTACAAGGGGGGTTACAAAAGGAAGTAATAAAGCTAAATAAGTTAATGGACCTACATTAATATATATTTCATAACACATATATATGTGTGTATATATCTGTAATACATCCTTTATTCATATGCTTCTCTAGCAATTACATTCTCCCCCCCCCCCCCAAAAAATGAGGTCACTGCTATTTTCGATTGCCTTACTTTTAACCATAATATTCTTATTCAAACATTGTTCATCCCAAATTGAACCCGGTGACAATAAAATCTTCCTAGATGGCCATAACGCTGCTCGCCGCGATGTTGGGGTAGATCCATATACATGGGACAAAAAGCTTGAAGCCTATGCTCAAGACTTTGCTAACAAGAGGAAACCTAGTTGTTCAACAGACTTGGGTTCAAAGATTCCATATGGTATAAACCTTGGTATAGGCTATGGTTTCTTGAGTAGTGGGCAAACGATTAATAGCTGGATTGGTCAAAAGTCTGATTATAACTACACAACAAATTCTTGTGTCAAAGGTAAAGATTGTTCGGCTTATACACAAGTTGTTTGGCGTAAATCGGTTCGCCTCGGGTGTGCTAGTGTTGCTTGTGGTTTATGGCCTTTATTTGTATGTGTCTATGATCCTGCAGGAAACATCCCAGGAGAAAAACCTTATTAATCAGCCATTACGTAGTTCTATATCATGCTTTGTGCAATCGATTAAAATGCTTTTAAGTTCTTTAATTTGATTGATAACAAAGATGATAGTTGAGGTGTAATATATTAATAAGGGAATAAGGTGTAATATTATATATTAATAAAGTGAACTTATAAGTTTCTTCTTTAAAGTTGCCCGTCAAAAAAAAAAGTTTTTTCTTTAAAGGTAATGAAATTTTATGAGTTTGGTGTTATCACATTCGGGTCAATTTTTCTGAATTTTTATCAGTTATTTTCTTATTTTTTGCTTGTCTTGTTTATCATTTTATACAATTTCCATTTTTCCATTGCAAAATTCTATAACTTTTAAATGAACCTAGTTTACATTGATTTTTGTGGACCACTAATAATATTAAGGTTACTATATTTAAATGTTGATATTTTAAAATAAAATCATAATATTAATAAGAATCTCACTATAAAAAAAATATTGTTATTATATTGAAATAAAAGTCATTGTATTATAATAAAGGTCAATAATAATTAAATATTTAATAATAAGAGTTTTAATATACTGGTCAATATAAATAGTAATGGTTACTATGTTATTATTAGGGTCGCTATATTTATAACATAACGTCGGGTTGCAGATCAGATGTAGAACTAAAAGTCTACAATATTTCTACTGTGAATTAAGTCCACACAAATGTTAATAAAAGTCAATATGTTAAAATTAGGATTATTATGTTTAAAATCACAATAGTTGATAACAGGTAACCTGATGTCCACAATAATATTATTGTGAACCAGGTCCACACAAGTTTTTTCATGTGAATTTTGAGTTCCAATGTTTTGTTCGGTAGCTTAATTCCATTCCATGTTGCAATCAACCCTGCTTTTCGTTTTAGCTTATTTTCACAAATGATATGAGCAAATTGAAAGCAATTTTGTTAACTTGTTTTTATCCAAAATTTCTTTGATTCTATATGTAATATAATATGAAATTTTAATATTTAGAAAGTGCACATTAATACAAATCAAATGACATCATATTTGATAATATTTTATCATAAGATTAATGTATAAATAATGTCAAAGTTTTGTCAAATATGGAAATTATATCCAAATCAGAAATTCAGATCAAATGAACATGTATAGGAATATCACCAAATCATTTCTTTTATTTAGTTTAGATAAAACATTTCAGTGCAAATTTATAACCATTAACATCTTCAAATATTAGAATGTAAAACATTATTTTAAAAGAGGAAAATTTGCCAGAAACCATCCTATATAACACAAATTTTTGTCACAAAACCACCTATAATTATTTTTTTATTTATTTGCAAATACACCAGTTTAAAATTTTTTTGTCAACACCCACCTCTCATCAGTTTCTAATGGTTGAATCGATTTTCGGTATTGACCTAGCACGTGTAAGTCACGTGACTTACTAAACCCCCCTTTTTCTTATTTTTCCCCCCTTTTCCCTCCATTACATTCTCTCTCAAATTCACATTTCCTTTCCCCCAATTGAAGCACATACAGAAGACTGGAATTCCACCATCGAAGCTGAGATCTTGCACAAATAACATTGAACCCAAGCGCAACTCAAGCAATTACTAGTTTTTAATTTCTTTATTTTGTAAAGTTTTAGAAATTAATTACATGTATACGAAAATTAGGGTTTGTACAATTAAAGTCGAATTTGTAGTTGAATTAAGCTTTATTATTTCGGAATTTTACTACATCCATTTAACTACTTATTAAGTGCATAAATTAGGGTTTGTGTTTTCAATGTTTAATTTATTATGGGGTGTATTTTCATGTAGGATGGCTCTTGCTAATTTACTAAAGGACCAAAGGTGCTTCTGTGGGATTCTAATTGCAGTAGGACATCTTGGACTCTTCGGAATCCTGGCAGAAAGTTTATTTCTTGTAAATTCTATAATTTTGAAACTGGACATAGGGCCCGTGAGTTCTTCCAATTGGTACGTAAATGAGAAAATATTGGATTGACAAAGAGATAGATGTGACCACCTTCTGATGAGAAGCAATCAATTCTATCTTGCCATGGCATGCAATCAAGTAGCAGAGGTTTAATGAGAGAAAAGTAAATGACGAGGAGATGTGAATTAGAGAGAGGAACTAATGGAGAGAAAAGGGGAAAAAAAGAAAAAGGGGGTTTGGTAAGTCTCGTGAGATACACGTGCTAGGTCCACGTCGAAAAACAGAGTCAAGTTGAGAGATAGGCCTTGAAAAAAAAGGAAAAAAAAAACTGGTGTGTTTTGACAAAATAACATGTTATAGGATGGTTTGTGACCAATTTTATATTTTATAAGTTCAGATTTGATCAAATAATAAGCAAAAATAAGGTGAATTAAACATAGCCTAGGAGGAGAAGAAGAAAGAAATAAGGAAATTATGAGAGGAGATAAATGAATCTTGAAGGGGGGAAAAGAAACACAAGGAACGAAAAGAAAAAAATGAAATAGTAAGACAATAGGTGTTTTGGGGAAGACAATAGGTGATTTGATTAGTTGAGACCTTTTCTGTTCACCTTATTCACTTATTTCAGGTGTAATAAATTCAGATAATTTCAATTCGGAAAAAATAATTAAGTTTTGATAAGGGTAACCCTAGTAAAACATGCAGCTAAAATAAGTCTTCATAAGTTCAAATAAGTTCAAGTAAGTTCAGACAAGTAAAGAGAAAAAAGGAGTTAACGGGTTTTGGTGCTCACATGGTGTATGAAATTAGATAAAGAAGCTCTTGTATATTGTACAAATGGAGTTAGCTCTGCTTGCTCAAGGGTTTTTTGCTTGGAATATTTTTGGTGACCATGCGGTGTCGTATGCTAGTCTTGTGGGTATTAAACATCGGCAAAATGTTGTTCGGGATACCCTTGTTTATGTTTGCTATCGGTTTGGGATTTCAACAAGAAAAGAGGTTGACATTGGGTTGTCTTGGAGGAACGACGGGGCCCTTAGACTTGCAGATATGTTACTTTATTCTTGGGAACGGGGTTGCGATGTGTGTGTTGACTTGACATAATCTTCTCCTTTGACTCAGTCTGGGTTTTCTAATTTTATTCCTGAACAGGTTGTGACTGATACAGCTCATCGTAAGCGTGTCAAATATGAAGCTAGGTGTCGGGCGTTTGGGTACGGTTTCATTCCTTTATCCTTTTCTTCTCTCAGGGAATTGAAGAAGGAGGTTGTTGCATTGCTGAAGCGGGTTCAAAACTTCTCGAAGACGCAAGACATTGGGGCACATGCTGCTGCCCATATTTTCACCAGGATTAGCTTTGCTATAGCTAGAGGAGTGAGGGCCCATATTGTATCTCAGCTTCCTAATAGTATTTTCTCCATTTTTTATTAGATGCATCATTTTGAAAATCGCGGACTCCTAAGGCAATTTTTGGAGTAAAGAGAGTAGATAGAGAGAAAAAAATCGAAAGGGACATATGTGATTTGAGAGAGATAGAAAGAATTTATGGACTAAAAGGGAATTGAAAGTGATGCATCTAAATTGTGAAAGGAATGGTGTCCTTGGAACAAGTGTATTATTCTGATAGAGGGTTCGGAATTAATTAAGAAAGCTAATTATTTAGTGAGGTCAAGTGATCGGAATGCCTAGCTGGAGGCCTCTTCCGATCAGTAATATTAATGTATAATTAATATTACAGCTTGCTCTTGACTGAACCCTTCGGGTCACACCCAATCCTGAAACCGAGCAATGGCTTCGAATTAATCCGAAGGATGAAATACGTCGATAGAGATTTTACGAACTAAGAAGTAGGATTTCGAGCTTAGAGCATTAAAGCCGAGTGTCAAACGTCGAGTCGATTCAATGAATCGAGAAGACGATAAAATAAGTCAAATGACAAGTCAACGCGCAAAGTTCTAACCTCGCAATTGGCCTAGCCAAGCGAGGGCTAGGCGCGCTAGGCTAGCAAGGCTGCTAGCCAAGTGCTTGCCTTGGGCGCAAGCCCAACAGCCATGCATGTGTGCTGGCTGGGCGAGCTGGCCGAGCAATGCACTGCTAGCAGCGCTAGTTCGCAGCAAGGGCACCAGGCCAGCACGCCATTGCATGTAGCAAGGCTTCTGCCCCAGCACGCTTGCGTGCGTTGCCAGCCAGCGAGGCTAGCCCGCAACACCACAAACCGAGCAGCGCGCTGGGCTTGCGAGGCAGGCCCAGCCGAAGGCCAAGGCTGCCAGCGCGGCAAGCCTTGAAGCCCAAGGCTTGGGGCACGCAATGCACATGGGGTTGGTGGGTTTTTGCTTGCTCTTCAAGGATGGGTTTGTGGTCCTTACCTAACCCTTTCCCTTGGATTGACACTTGTCATTTTCTTATCGCTTGTGCTATTTAATTTAATTTGGAATTAAATTAATTGCTTACATTCTCATTTCAACAACTCTCCCACATGGAAAGTTGATGGAAACTTTAGGGAGCATTTTCCTATAAATACCCACCTTGGGTATTGAGATTTAAAACTTGAGTAGAACTCAATAAGGTATATATCTCCCTAAAGTGAGAAAGCCTTTAAGTTGGTAAAACTCTAGTTTTATTTGGTCTAGCCGTGTCTAAGCTACAAGATAGGGGCCGGTTCGGGCACGAGAGTATGAGATGTTGGAGGGCTTGCACTTGCGAGTCTCGAGGTTTTCCAAGTCCGAGCTTGTGATACGAGCGAAGCATGCATCATGGATGAGCTACTCTTATTTTTACTCTCTCTCCTCCTTTTATGTGTTTATGCTTTCATTAATTGCATGCTATGTTGTAAATATTATGCTTGCGATCCTTTTGCGGGTTTTGTTTTCGCGCGGTATAGGACACCGCAAAATCCAACAAATTGAAACTTTCATATATAGAAAGTAATGCATTTAATAAAGAACAGAGGAAGTAATAATAATTTAAAAATACATTCTTATATGTGGCCAAGAATTCACATATAGAAGATAATTGAGGTTACAAAAATGATCAAATGGGGTTACATAACGAATGAGAGATTACTACCATTGA